CGGCACTGACAATCCATTTTTTAACATGGACTAGGAAAACTCCAGATTTAATTGCTCTTAGTAATTCTGAAATCTGCAAACAGATATATATGATGAGGACTCTTCAAAACTATGAATATGCTCGAAAGATTAAATATCAAAAGTAACCTGTAACTGATTGCTTTTTAAGTAAGAACCTTCTTGGGTTAACAACATGTCAGATGAACACTTCCTCCTCCTGTCTGTGTGAAAAATGTAGGACAATGAACTCGCATATTTTCCAAAGTTGAGTGTGAGTGTTTGTAAAGCACTTCAGTAATATAAAACCAGAGCAGCCCTCTGGACATTTTGCCAAATGGTTAAATGGCAAATCCTGATGTGACATTTTCAAAATTAGTGAAATATTTTGTCTTCTGTAAAGAGCAGGTAACGCTGGGAAAGCAACGTCTCTCTGTGTCCGTACAATTATCATGTGGAAGCCTGGATAAAAATGAGATTATCAAACTCTCAGATTTTCATGGAGGATTGAAACCATGAGACAAAACAAACAACAGCTCAGGGTTCACTTACAAGTTGTGATATCTCCTACAGAGAGTGAACGCCACAACACCATTAAAAAAAGGGATGATGACGTAAATGGAATACAATTGCTGTGACAGGAACTGTTTATTTGCAAAATCTGCACTGATAGCACTTCAAAATAAACTCTAGATACTAAAATCCACACAGTCTCCCTGTCGTGTTTTGATGTGATCCGTATTTCTTCACAGCTGACAGGGTTTCATCTGCCCGTCACATACAGGGCTGATGAAGGACAATGCAGAGGTTAAATGAGCACATGTTAATTCTTCAGGTTTAGTTTAGCAGACCTGATCCCAGACAACCCGAGAGGTCAGGATGGTTCATGGTCAGGATGGTTCACAATGAGGCAGAAGATCAGAAATGTATTTTAGCCCCATTTAGTGCTTTATAAACCAACTGCAGGATTTTGAAATAAATTCTTTGACAGACAGTTCAATTCAATTCAATTCAATTTTATTTATATAGCACCAAATCACAACAACAGTTATCTCACAGTGCTTTTCATAAAAGAGCAGTTCTAGACCTCCTAGTCTACTTTTGGAGACTCTAGGAACCACAAGTAACCCTGCATTCTGGGAGCGCAGTGCTCTGGTGGGGTAGTAAGGTACTATGAGCTCTTTAAGATAAGATGGTGCCTGACCATTAAGAGCTTTGTAGGTAAGAAGAATGATTTTAAATTCTATTCTGGATTTTACTGGAAGCCAATGCAAAGAAGCTAAGACAGGAGAAATGTGATCTCTTTTCCTGGTTCCTGTCAGAACACGTGCTGCAGCATTCTGGATCAGTTGAAGAGTCTTAATGGACTTTTTCGAGCAGCCTGATAATAAAGAATTTCAGTAATCCATCTTAGAAGTAACAAATGCATGGACTAGTTTTTCCGCATCATTTTTAGACAGGATGTTCCTGATTTTTGCAATATTACGTAGGTGAAAAAAGGCGGTCCTTGAAATTTGCTTAATGTGAGACTTAAATGACATGTCCTGATCAAAGATAACTCCAAGATTCCTCACAGTGGGGCTGGAGGCCAGGGCGATGCCATCAAGGGAAACTATATCTTTAGATAATGCATCACGGAGGTGCTTAGGCCCCAGAGCAATAACTTCAGTTTTATCTGAGTTTAACATGAGAAAATTACAGGTCATCCAGGTTTTAACATCCTGAAGGCACATTTGAAGTTTAGCTAACTGATGAGTTTCATCTGGCTTGATCGATAGATATAACTGAGTATCATCTGCATAACAATGAAAGCTTATGGAATATTTCCTGATAATATTGCCTAAAGGAAGCATATATAAAGTGAAGAGGATTGGTCCGAGGACAGATCCTTGTGGAACTCCATGACTAACTTTGGCGTGCATGGAGGACTCATCGTTAACATGTACAAACTGAAATCGATCTGATAAATAGGACTTAAACCATCTTAGAGCGGTTCCTTTAATGCCAATGAAATGTTCCAGTCTCTGCATAGGATCTGATGGTCAATGGTATCAAATGCAGCACTAAGATCTAATAAAACCAGTACAGAGACAAGTCCTTTGTCTGATGCAATAAGGAGGACGTTAGTAATTTTCACCAGTGCTGTCTCTGTGCTATGATGAGCTCTAAATCCTGACTGAAAATCCTCAAATAAACTATTGCTCTGTAGAAAGTCACACAGCTGTTTAGCAACTGCCTTCTCCAGAACCTTAGAGAGAAATGGAAGGTTAGATATAGGTCTATAGTTGGCTAAAACATCCGGATCAAGTTTGGGCTTTTTCAGAAGAGGTCTAAACTACAGCTACTTTAAAGTACTGTGGTACATAGCCTGTTGATAGAGATTGATTGATCATATCTAGTATAGAAGTGCTGACTAAGGGTAAAACATCTTTAAGCAGCCTAGTCGGGATGGGGTCTAAGAGGCAGGTTGATGGTTTAGATGAAGAAATTATTGAAGTTAATTGGTAAAGATTGAGGGAAGCAAAACAGTCTAAACATATATCTGGTTCTACAGCTGTTTCTAAGGTTCCTGAGTTAAGAGATAAGTCGGTGCCAGTTGAGGGCAGGTCTTGGTGAATTTTGTCTCTAATAGCTAGAATTTTATCATTAAAGAAGCTCATGAAGTCGTAACTACTGAGAGCTATGGGAATACTTGGCTCAATAGAGCTGTGACTCTCTGTCAGCCTGGCTACAGTGCTGAAAAGAAACCTGGGGTTGTTCCTATTTTCCTCTATTAAGGACCAGTAGTACACTGCTCTGGCATTACGGAGGGCCTTCCTATAAGTTTTAAGACTATCTTGCCAAATTAAACTAGAATTTTCCAGTTTGGTGGAACGCCAATTCCTCTCAAGTTTCCGCGATATTTGCTTTAATTTGCGAGTTTCAGTATTATACCATGGAGCTAAACGTCTTTGTTTTATTATTTTCTTTTTTAGAGGGGCTACAGAGTCGAGTGTCATTCGCAGCGAGCCTGCAGCACTATCAACAAGATGATTGATTTGGGAGGGACTGAAATTAGCATAGGAGTCCTCCGTTACTTTGTGATCTGATAATGAATTTAGAGCTGATGGAATCGTATCCTTAAATTTAGCTACAGCACTATCAGACAGACATCTTGTATAGAAATTTTTGCCCAGTGGCGAGTAGTTCAGCGATACAAACTCAAAAGTTATCAAACAGTGGTCGGATAAAGAGAGATTCTGTGGGAACACCACTAAATGTTCAATTTCAATACCATACACCAAAACAAGGTCGAGGGTGTGGTTAAAACAGTGAGGCGGTTCATGAACACTCTGAGAGAAGCCAATGTAAAGACCTCAGAACTGGAGTGATGTGATCCACTTTTTTTTCCACAGGTCAGACAGTTTGTCGGACTTAGCAACAGTAACTATGGGGGGGCGTGGCTAAGTGAAGGGTCAATTATGGTAACATATTTTGGCGTTTTTCATAATCGGAGCCAGCGGAAGCATGTAAATGTTAAACAAAAGAGGTCCCAGAATGGAGCCTTGGGGAACTCCACATGTCATTTTTGTCAGCTCATATGTGTGATTACCTATAGACACAAAGTAGTCCCTGTCCTTTAAGTAGGATTCAAACCAGTTTAGTACTGTGCCAGAAAGTCCTGACTGGAAGACATCAAAACAGTTATTTAGTGTCAAGAAAGCACTAAGCTGTTGAAAAACAGCCTTTTCAATGATTTTCTTAAAAATGGGAGATTTGATATGGGCCTATAATTTCTCATTAGTGACCTGTCTAGATTGCTCTTTTTTTAAGAGTGGCTTAATGCAGTTTTCAGGGCCTGTGGGAAAAAACCTGAGAGAAGAGACATGTTGACAATTTGTAGTAGATCTGAGGCCATGCATTTAGACACATTTTTGAAAAAACCTGTTAGCAGAATAACAATGCAGCATGAGGAGGATTTCAGATGTTGTATTATGTCCTCCAAGTTTCTATAGTTAATAGAATTAACTTGTGTCATGCTACTGAATTGTTTTTAAGGGGACACAGGGACACACATCCTGTACCTGACATGGAGGCACTGATTGCTTGTCTAATTGTTTGAATTCTGGCTATGAAAAAGGAGGCAAAACGTACAGTAGCAAACAAGGCACATGCATTATTATTGTTTTTGGTGATGTCAGAGAAGAAGGACCAGGAGGGGAGACTGAGAGGGAGAAAGAATTAGAGGATTGGGAGAAATCTATGTGAGGAATGGGATGGAGTAAGCTCAGCATCTTAAATGAAGTCCCACTCAAAGTCCATGAGTCTCCTCAGCAGAGTGGATCCATGTGGACTGACTGTTGTCGTCTCTTTGTTGCTGACTTTTCCAGTTTTCTTTGAGAAGACTTTGGCCCGTCCGGCCTCGGTGCCTCTCTCAGGGTTTATTCCAACCAAGCGCCTGACAAACAACAACATGGCACGTCAGATAGATTTGAAGAAGCAGAAAGTTCCAGCCGAGCAAATCTTATTCAGCACTTCATTGCTGATCCAACGATTCTCTTGAAAATGACCTGCCTTAAATGTTGAATGTGCACTGCTGAATTAGCAGCCAATAACTAGCTGCACTGAAGTCTGAATGTTCCTTCAGCTGTTGAAGTGACTTCCATATACTGGAAAAGGTTCCCACTGTCAAGACTATCGCTGTGCTTCATTAATACACTGGCAAAAGAAGCTAAATGTGTCCACACATTAACTTAAATATGTACTTAAAAATGATCCTCCTTGAGACCCATCAGCCCTTCAAACACATTATCCCACCTCCTACCCCCTTTATCTCTGTCTATTAGACCTCCTTACATCATGCTCCGTACTTTCTCACCCTGTACCTTCCATTAACCCTTCAAACCCATCGATCATCCCACTAAACCAGCGTTCACCCTTTAAAACCTTCATCTGCCCTTTATGTGACGGGCAGATCAAAAAGGTGAGCAAATACTGTCAAAACACAAGAGAGGGAGACCTTGTGGGTTTTAGTCTCTAGAGTTTATTTTGAAGTGATATGAGTGCAGATTTCACAATAAAACAGTTCCTGTCACAGCGTTTGTCTTCCACTTAAGTCATCATCCCTTTTTATAAAGTCCCTGTAGGAGACATGTAAACTTGTAAGTTAACCCTGAGCTGTTGTTTGGTTTGTCTCATGGCTTCATCCTCCATGAAGAGAAGAGAGTTTTATAATCTCATTTTTATCCTGGCTTCCACATGAATAATTGTACGGACACAGAGAGACGTTGCTTTCCCAGCGTTACCTGCTCTTTACAGAAGACACAAAATATTTCACTAATTTTGAAAATGTCACATCAGGATTTGCCATTTAACCATTTGGCAAAATGTCCAGAGGGCTGCTCTGGTTTTATATTACTGAAGTGCTTTACAAACACTCACACTCAACTTTGGAAAATATGCGAGTTCATTGTCCTACATTTTTCACACAGACAGGAGGAGGAAGTGTTCATCTGACATGTTGTTAACCCGAGAAGGTTCTTCAGGTCGGACATTACTTCAACAATAATCACCAGATTATCATAGTTTTAGTTAGTTAGTTTTGAAGAGTCCTCGTCGTATATATCTGTCTGCAGATGTTTTCAGAATTAAGAGCAATTAAATCTGGAGGTTTTGTTTCCCAGTCCATGTAAAAAAGTTATGGTCATTAGCAATTAAAGCTAGGCTAACGGCCTTTTTAAAAAGCTACATTGTGCAACAGACCGGCTGCCATCAGTGGATTTTTATTCATGGGGACTAAATAAATCCTCACCGTTTTGCTGCTGGAGTAAGATAAAGAGGAATGGTTTGCAGACAGTTGTGAGAGAGGAGTCTGTGGTACAGATGTGTTTAGAATAAAGTGTGTGAACTTATTGTCCAGTCAGTGAAGCAGTTAGCATGCTGATGGTTAACTTAATAACTAAAGCTGATTGACAGTTAGCAATCCAGACATTTAGCTGCGACAGACCGGCGCTAGCATATTCCCGGCCGTCTCGTGTGTTCGGCCAAGTAGCCCTTCAAGCAGTCCTCCATCACCAAGCTTCTACCACCACTAACGAGGAGTGGATGAACTTTACTAAGCTGTTCTCTGGTGCGTCCCAGGCTTAATAAAACAAGAGAATGTTCCAACGTTTTAAACTCACAGGTAATGTTATGACCTCCTCGGGTTTATAGAGCTGTATTCAGATTAGAAACTGCCTCTTTCTACAATATTTATGCAACAGAGAAATAGAAGATGGAACGCAGCGTACCATCAAATAACTCGAGTTATAATGATTCATTAAAAAAAAGCCTGCTATATTTTCTACAATAGAAATCTGGAAGGAAAAAATGAAATGTTCCTGCAGCAAAACAAAGACGCCATCATGAATTGACCACTGAGTCCTCCTTTACAGCGCAGAAGGTCAGGGGTGGAGGGTTCCCTTCAGTATCCCGTCATGGCAAAGGACGCTCCTGCTGCGCTGTCATGACGTTTGATCTGATGGATCATCAGCAGGGACATCAGCAGGCCCAGCAGCTACAAGGACAGGTAGTCAGTTAGGAAGACATACAGACACTGTCCATCAGACCAGAAGTGAAAGACTTTCCTTAAGCAACCATCTGTCCAGTCCACGAGGTACAAGCTAAAGCTAAAAGCTAAAAGGACAATAAACAGGAGGCCTGTCTGTTCTGGAAGTCTTCTTCGCCCCTTTAAATACAAATTTAAATGCTTTCATTGAGATGCTGAATGTTTCTGTCTCCTGGATAATTTAACAGTATGTTCATGTTATGGCCATCAGATGAAATTATTTCAACTTCATATCTGAGAAATCAGGATCATGTCTGCAGATTGTGTTTGGAGGATTACAGTTGTCCATGGACCAACAACTGAGACTCCTGGCCTGCCTGTACTCGTGTCTTTAAGACTCAACCTGAGTGAACCCAACTGAACCAAGGCTATACTTTCGCTTACTAAATTAGATTTGATAAGGTTAGATTATTTCCAAAGCTAAACCACTAATAAAATCCATCTGCTGACCGTGAAATGTGTTCAGCAATCTTATAACTGATCTGTATAAGCCATGCTATGTTTATGAAAATCATTTGGTCACGTACACTTGTCAGCGCGGGTATTTTCCATGAGTAATGAGTTTAAATCTGTTAGAAAAGGAGGGCAAGTAGTACTGCGTTTACCCTTTCAGTCCATAAAACATGTATGACAGCGACACCACGGTGTACTATGGACTAATAAGCCCTGAATTATTACTGTCCATGTCCTGTTTTTACGTTATTATTCATAATAGGCGGTCTGACGTTGCAAATCATGCTTATAATAAATTTCATGAGCTCTTTGCGATACAGATCAGAAACATTAAAGTGCTCAGTCACTGCAGTTTGATTTCCCCACGTGGGTCCTGATGATGCAGGATGACATTTACTAAAGCTGTCCAATCAACAAGTTACCTGTAAGTCTGTGTGACGTCATGGTTACTTCTCTTGGTTCGTTTGTAAACCTGCAGTGTGAACATGAACCGGACCAGAACTATTTCAATTACTACAGGTGTGAAAGCACCTTTAGGGTCCAGGATCCAGATCATTTAATACATCCATGGCTGTTCCTATCTACAGAAGGACTTCTTTAGTTTCAAAATAAAAAGTTGGACTTGGCTTGAGACTTGTTTTCCTGGATTAATAAACTCAAACTCTCAAACCATAATTTTGTGCAGCCAAATAAAAAGCTAAATTAGCTAAATGAAGATTACAGCTTTATTGGTACGGTTGGGAACAACACATCACACCATAGTTGCTGAATCCACCAAAAACAGACTCTGAATCTGGAAGTTGACTGATTGAAACTGCTAAATGTCATCAGACATCTCCTTATGTGTTAATTGCACAGGCTTGTACCTGATCATGATCATGAATTTTATTCCCTCCTCACACTTACTAACTATATCACCAAATATAGTTCTGTGGATGATTTCCTTTTCACTGAAGATTTCTTTAATGGCCACAGTAATAATCGATCGTGAATGCTTTCTGGAGCTTGAACATATCTTAATAACCAGTGCAGTCAAAGAACATGAGAGAACAACAACAGAAGAGAGTAACAGAGGAGCTTACTGCAGTGACAGCAAATCCAAAGCAGACGCCCATGGCGATCTTGTAGAAATAGTCGATCCACTCAAAGATGAATCCACCGCAGGTCTGCAGAGGAGACGATGGAGAAAGGGGCATTATCTGGAAACATCACTGACTTGTAAACTGGATGGTGTTTTGGTTGGTTGAGTGATTGAATACCTGTTTATAGATGAAGCTTGGGCCTGAGGTTCCCTGCAAGAAAACAAGAGCCAAATATGGAAATCATCAGTCAGCTGCTTCTTCTGTCAAATACCAGAATATAAAAAGTGCTGTAGGGGATGAAGATCTCCGGATGCTTCATGGGAAAGTCCTTGGTGGATTGTGTCGAGTAGCGTCTGAAAGTGTTTATTATCGAGTGTGGCCCTTTGGAACAGGTAAATACTTCAGAGATGAGTGGACAACAAACTGTACACACTAGTTTACATGAAGCATCCTGAACCCTTAATGTTTCAGTATTTTACTGTTACTACCAAACTTGTATGGTAGGAATTAAAGTACTTGTTCTGTCCAGTGTGACGCTATGAACGTTGTTGTTTCTAGGGGCCACAGAGCTTCAGACCACTTTAGACTCATTAACTCTGAAGCCTTTTTGACGTCTCTCTCAGTTTTGACTCAGATCACATGGAAAGTGATGATCCTATTTTTCAAAGCAATATTGTGAATTTCAGTTTTCATTAAGAAAAATGAGTGTTTCAAGTACAACCAGCTAAATTCACAAAGTCCACAATTTTGGGTACAATTTGTGATAAAAAAGGGGACATTTACTTGTGCACCAGCTTTCCCATGAGAAGAAACTGAATTTGTGTGTGTGTACAGTATATATAAATAATAAAAACCTGATATTCCAGTTTCATTTTACAAAACCAACCTTTGGTTTGGCTTTACATTCAGATCCTGCAGATCCTCCATATCCTCCGTAACCTCTCAGTGAGTTACACTCACAGGATGTAGGGATATCATCACCCCAGTCCTCGGCGCTCACCAGTCCACAGCACTTTACCTGCAACCACATTAGGGTGAGTTTTAACAGAAACCTGCGTTGCTGCTGCAGTAGATGACAGGATGGTTTTGTTCAGCTCAAATGTAGAGATTATTTAGGAAACGCTATTTATCACCAGCTCCACTATATTTGAACGACCCTGCTTAAAATCTCTGATTGGTGGAGGAAATATTGTTTGTAGCAGCATGACGGAAGATTGAACAGGACTGCATGTCCAGGATCACAATAAGGACTGTTGATCCTCCTTTAGGAGTGTGGCCTGTCTTTTTATTGTTGAGCAACATAGCAGCTGTTATTGTGACGTAATATGATCATCAATGCAAAGTGTAAAAATGTGATTAGGCTATATGAAAGTTTCCTGCATACTAAGAGCGACACCTCATCCTAGAATCGTTCGGTCTAACTGGACCAGACTCAGAAGGGTTAATGGTACACAACATTACCTCTTGCTGTAGCTTATTAAGCAGCTCTCTCATTTCCTCTTTGTCAATCCAGGTCTTTACCGTCTCAGAGTTGCCGCTTTCAAAGTCGCTTTTCAGCTACAAGGAGAGAAAGAACAACATTATCATCGAGATAGACGGAGAGAGGAAATGTGAGGACTGGGATAATAAAAAAACATTAGAACGAAGATAGAGAGGGAACGCGGCAGCGTTAGCACCAAGATAAACTGAGAAAGAATGAGACAGGATGTTTGCAACCCGATAGAAAT